ATATATATATATATATATATATATATATATATATATGTAACGGAAGTTAATTTAAAAAATAGTTAATTTGTTAACCAAATTGGCAAGGATAATAGCTGGTTGGTATATAGAGTGTATGCATGTGTATATAATAAATTTATTTTATATTGTATTTTTTTTCTTGAGAAAATGGTTACTTATTAGGCATCAATATGCAATTAATATATGTTCTTTCTGGTTAAATCAAAATGCAGTGGACATATAATGAACATATTATTTTTAAAAAAATGTTATTTATTAGGCTTTTTATTCAATTTACACAGTTTCAAGTATAATTTGACCAACCTCAACGTTGACGATTTAATCGTATCTGAAAATATGTGTTCTCTGTCGTCAGTTTTGGTCATACTCGTTCTCTTATCGGTTGTAGCTGCAACCATAACTAATGAGAAGTATGAAGTCGCGTGTGTAGAATGAGCTAGACATAAACTGCATAATATCTTCGTGATAAGCAATCAATGTGCTTTGAAAGCCTATGAGGCTTTTATTTTATCAGATTTAGCAGTCCCTCTTGAACGAGTATGCTGCTATGATCTTGTAGATGTAGCAAGAGAATGTTGGTCTCTGTTGTTGCCTTAGACAGGAGACACCTTTCCTGTCTTGGTTGAAAATTTTTGTGATAATCTTGTTATTTGATGGCCGTTATATACTATAGAAATAGAATATTTACTATGGAGTGTGTCCACTCATTAAAATAAGTTATTATAATAAAACATGGTATGGTTTCATAGTTTAGGCTACGATTTCCTGACATTTTTTCTTCAACCAAAAGAAATATATTTTGGTAGGATTTGTTTATTACTTTGGTTTTTATTTTTATTTTTACTAAATTCAAAATCGGTTTATGAGTTTGTTTGACATCTATATAAGATTCTAGGGTTATTATAGTTTTTTGGTTCTGACATATTGTTCTTGCTTAAAATGTTAAACAAGTTTCATATAATTACAATGCATAAACAAATAATGCCAAGAAGAAAAATAAACCATCCATCTTTAACCTAAAGGCTTTGATTAAAATCCCACAATACTTAGAACAATAAGCACATTCAATGATATATATATATATATATATATATATATATATATATATATATAAATTTCATTATTTAGAAAAAAAAACCCAATTGAACAACCTTAAACAAAAATAAGAACTCTAATCATATATACAACCAACGCAAAATCTATAAGGATAAAACATAGTTCCATTTAACAAAATACTAGTCTGGATACAAATGACACTAGTAGAGCAAACATAAAACCATTTATATAATCTCTTTTATTTTAACTTTAGGAGCAAAAAAACCACCACACATAATTAAAAGGTAGCCAAATAATTCAAGAACAAGAACAGAGAGATTGCGATAAGTCTACAAATTAATAAAGTGAAATAACTTTAGATGCCTTCAAAATGCTAACTAAGCTTTCATATATTATATGAAACTTGTTTGTCAGTTTGAGCAAGAACAAGATGTCAAAACAAAAAGCTGTAACAACCATAGAATCTTGGGTAAATTACACTAATGGTCCTATGGTTTCGGGTAGTCTGCGTGGTTAGTCCCTATAAAGAATTTTTAACTCGGACTGTCCCTCATGTTTGTGTTTGTTTCAACTTTGGTCCCTGAACCGGTTGAAATGACTATTATGCCCTTGATTCTATTTTTTATTTTTATTTTAATCTTATTTTCATTATTATATAGAATTAACTATTAAATAAACAAAATTACTTCTCCTTATCCTTATAGAATGACCTCAGCTAATTACCCCCAAATTCCTTCCACCCCCCATTGTCGTTCCCTGTCCTCATCAGAATCTGTCACCACCTTGCACATCCCCTGGAATTACCTCCAATGGCATCTATGCCTCCATTTCAGCTCTTCCCTTTTTATTCCAAACCCACAAATCAATTTTACATAACTAAATCGAAGAAGGGGTAGATACCACTGATAAACCACCACCTAACCACAATTCCAAACCAATCTGCTAGTGTTTGCACATCTTATTCAAGTTTTTGGAGCAATTAATTTCTCGTTATCTTTCTGAGCAAAAAGACCGACGTTTTCTCAACTCATTTGAAGAATCCACCATCAAGACTAACTGCATTGGGGTCGGAGCTCGATGGGTAAATTAAACCAAAAGTCGAATTTCATAAATCTATTTTGTGGTTCCTGTAAGAAATGGACTTTCATTAAAATCCTACAATCCGTGAGATGTAATAAATCCAATCAAAATGCAGAAATCGACTTCCTGAGTGTTTCTGATGAGTAAAGGACGAAGAAGTATAATCAGATAGGATTGGGGAGATAAGGAGGCTTCCGACAAAACCCATTTGTGAGAGGGGCATGGGAGAAGAAGCATGAGCATGTCAATTTTGTTTTGACTTAGGCATGATTTTGATGATCTTCTATTTGTGAAAGACGACAGGGCATCGAGAAGAGGTGGTAGGTTGAAGATGAAGTCTTGATATTTTGAAGGGAAAAAGGTGAATGTCAGGAGTAGAACCCAAGTTATTTATTAAAATTTTTAATATAAATAAATAAAATAAACAATAAAGAAATTAAAAATAAATAAATAAGGGTAATATTGTCTTTTTAGGTCTGGTAAGGACCAAACGCTCAACAAAATTATATAATAGGGGATTGTCCGAGTTAATAATCATGCCCAGGGGCTAAACGTGCAGATTCCCCTAAATCACATGGACCATTCGTGTAATCTTGAATTACATAAAAATAAAAAGTAAAGTAAGCAAACCAATCTTACCAATAGTATACTTACTTTTGGTTGAAGAACGAAGATCAGGAAATTGTAGCCTAAAGTGTGAAACCATATAGTACTGATGATGAGGCCATGTGGCACTAGTTCCTAAATATTTTATTTCTATAGTATATAACGACCATCAACTAACAAGTTGTCACAAAACTTTTCAACCAGGAAATGTGTCTCCTGTCTGAGGGAACAATGGAGACCAACATTCTCGTTCAACATACTCGTTCAAGAGGGATTGTTAAATCTGATAAAATGAAAGCCTCGTAGGCTTTGAAAGCAAATTGATTACTTATCACGAAGATATCACACAACTTATTTCTACCTCCTTCGGCACATGCGACTTCCGACTTTTCATTAGTTGGGGTTTCGGTTGCAGCTGCAACCGATAAGAGAATGAGTATGATCAGAACTGATGGCGATAGAGAATGCATTTTTTCAGATACAATTGAATCGTCAAAGGTGAGGTTGGTCAATTTATACTTGAAACCGTATAAATTGAATAAAAAAACCTAATAAATAACATTTTTTAAAAATAATATAGAATAATATGTTCATTAATAGTCGAATGCATTTTAATTTAACCAGAAAAAGGAACATATATTAATTGCATACCGATGCCTAATAAGTAACCTTTTTTTAAATAAAAAAACAGCATTAAAATAAATTTATTAAATACACATGCATGAATTATACATAGCAACCAACTATTATCTTTGCCAATTTGGTTAACAAATTAACTATTTTTTAACTTAAGTATCGTTACAAGAATACATAGAAGGTTACATTATCTTGAATGACATATTTAAAGATAAAATTTGTGGTTGCCAAGTTACTAAAAATAGAAAGTTATATTTATTTTATATTTATGGTTTATTTAGATGTTCAAAATCATTATACTTGTAAGACCTAATGTTCGATTAATTATTTTACCAAAAGAAGGGTTAAATTCATTAATTTAAGATGGAGAGATTACTTACACCAGAATGAAATTAAAAAAAATCATTTAACTGAATTCATTAATTTAAGATAGAGAGAATATTTACACCGGAATGAAATTAAAAAATTCATTTAAATTGTTTAGTGAAAATGGCAAAAGCGTAAGTCACAGTTGGTTATACACTTGTACTAATTTGTACTCCATAATGAGATGTTTATATAAACAAGTTACGTAACCTATTGGAAATGGAAGCATCAACGGTGATGGCATGTTTTCTTTTACAATACTAAAATGAATGCTATACCTGAAATGGAAATAGATTACTACCAAATGTCAATTATCCGTATCTGAGTTTTTCCATGTTTGCTTCTAATATTAAACCAAAGAAAAGAGGTACTTAAGACCTTTGAAGCCAAAGTAGGGATAGTTTTTACTTTGCTTCAAAAGCAGATATCATTCTCATTACACCGGAAGGCTCAAATGATAACTAGAACTTTTACTTGGAGATCTTGACATATAGTCTATCTTTCCTCAACACTCCTAGTAACTCTCGTAGGTGCTCCTCATGCTGATCCCTAGTCCTGGAGTAGACCAAAATATTATCAATGAAAACAACGACCGATCGATCGAGCATCGGCCTGCATACTCGATTCATCAAATCCATAAATGTTACAGGTGCATTTTTGACCCCAAGCAGTTCCTAGGCCGGTCCCTTTCGGATTTTTATATGGGTTTTATTATATGATATGCTTATTGACTTACATCCTGACAATTAGGATGGTGATATGCTTAGTGACCTGGTAGGTCGGTATCCTGGTTATAGGATGATTCTATGTTAGTGACCGGTTAGGTCGGTATCCTGGTTATAGGATGTTGCTATGCTATTTGATCTGTTAGAACGGTTTGACTGTTATATATGCTAGCGTATGATATTTATGTGCACATGATTGTATGATTGAGGTCAGGTTGAGGCGGTCCTGCTTTGTGCTGAAGGCCAACATACCCAGGGCGGTCCGGATAGACTACATGCCCAGGAGGGCATGCTAGTCAGACCGAAGGCCCGACGAGCGGTCCGGATAGGCTGAAGGCCCTGAGAGGCGGTCTAGATCTGCCGAAGGCTCGGAGAGCGGTCCAGATAGACTGAAGGCCTACGAGGTGGTCCAGTCAGGATGAAGGCTCATTATGCATGCTGTTATGTGTTAGTTTACATGATATGATTATGGTTGTATGAGGTTGGTATTTTGGGGGAAACTCACTAAGCCTTCGAGCTTACATTTATCGATTATTGTTTCAGGTATTTCTAGTGACCGCGGGAAGGCGAAGGCGTGATCGTACAACTCCTTACTTTTCATGATTTTGTTTATGGGATACTCTAATATGAAAACATTTTGTAACAACTAATGGTTTTGGATTGTTTTAAAAGTTTAAAATTGGCATGATTTTTATGGATGTTACAAGTTGGTATAGAGTCTTGGTTTGAGTGAATTGGAGGAACACTTGTGTAAATCCAGTCTCAAACTAAGGAAAAGATTTTCAAAATGATTTTTCAAAAAGGTTTTCAAAATATAAAAAGGAGGATGTAGGGTGTACGATCAGCTGGAGCCAGTAAGTAGACACCAAAATACCGTATGATTATTTGATAATGTGATATGTTAGAACAACATGCTAGTGCTAGGCTAGGGATCTTCAGAAATTGCAAGATAGAATTGCCTGATTATATGATGCCTGATAGCCTAGGGTTTTCTTTATATGAAATTGACATCATTACTATAGTTGCTTAGTGTATGCATCACGACCGTACATAATTAAGATCTTATAGCCTGAGAATGTTTGGTTTGACCTTATTTCCTGTTCTTGTTTGATGAAGGGCTCAGGTATTCGAAAGTCTATAGGGTCCAACGTTATGTTTGGTTAGCATACACGAGTGTTGCAGGGTTGGTGGAAGTGTCATGGGTGGGTTGTGTGGCAGTTATGAGACATTTAGCATTCCTCAAGGAGTGAGGATTGAGCGCTTGCCATGATCATGTATATTGTAAGGGCGTTGTGATGATACTTGAGACAAATATGGGTAGGTGTGGAAGGTAGTATGGGCCCGTACTACTGAAAGAATAGGACCCATACGCGTATCAAGGAAGTCACAACCCCTAGGGTTTAGTTGGGAGTGGGTCCCCCGTTATTATGCAGATTATCTGATATCTTTTTGGTATGTTTTCAGAATGGTGGTTACGAGACGCTTTGTGGCTGGATCAGGATCAGGAGATGGCGGCCAGGAGGGGCCGGCAGCACCCGAGGTTGTGGTGTAGATGGGGGCAGATGAGCTAGACGTTAGGATTCGAAAGATCCTGCACGACGAGGTTGCCGCTTTATTCCGGGCGCATCTACCGGAGATGTTTGGGTCTATTAAGACCGTTATGGTCGAGTATTTTGACGAGCGTTACACAGCCCTTGAAGAGACGGCTGCCGCTGCAGCTGCATCGGCTGTAACAGCGGCAGGGGGAGGAGCCAATCGAGTTTTTCAGTACAGGGACTTCGATAACACGAAGCCCCCTACTTTTGATGGGACTCAGGACCCCATCAAGGCCATGAGATGGATTTCTAACGTAGAGGAATGTTTCTTTACATGCTCGTGTCCTACTGACCAGAAGGTAAGATGTGCCCTGAACTTGCTGAGGTCTGGGGCCAAGGACTGGTGGAGACTGACGACTGGGTCGTACACTGATGATCAAAGAGGTGTTGTTACTTGGGAGCAGTTCAGGGATATGTTCCACACTCGTTACATTCCACGGGTTGAGCGAGAACGATTGGCTCAGGAGTTTTTAGGATTGAGACATGATAGGCAGTCGGTGACGGAGATCACCCGCATGTTCACAGAGAGGACGATGTTCTGCCCGGAGTTTGCTTCTGAGCAGGCTCAGATGACACGTTATCTGAGCATGCTCAAGACTGACATCCGTCAGTTTGTGTCTACTCACCGATGTGATACCCTACTAGAGTTGCAGGAGGCCGCTAGGCGGCGTGAGTTGGAGATTGAGCTGCAGTTGAGGGAGCAGCGGCAGGCCCCGACACAGTCACAGCCAGCGCCGAAGCGGTCTAAGACCGTTGATACTAGGACCGCGAGTCAGTAGAGCCGCACTTGTGGAAAGTGCGGCAAGGGTCATACTGGGGTTTGTCGAGCTAGTAACGGGTGCCACAGGTATGGCAAGTAGGCTCATGTGCATGCCTTCCAGCTCACCGCAGAGGAGGCCATGGCAGCATCAGATGTGGTTGCTGGTACGTTTCTATCTCTTATCTCACTAATTTTATATGTTTTGTGCATATCTGTTTGTACCGGTGATTAGGTACGTTCTTAGTGAACTCCTTGCCTGCATTGGTTTTGTTTGACTCGGGGGTGAGTCGGTCGTTTGTATCTCAGACATTTAGTAGGGAGTTTAGTGTGCCAGTGGGAGAGCTAGAGTGTCCGTTGCGAGTCTCTATCGCCAACGAACACGGGGTTTCTACTTCTATGGTCTACCGGGGGTGTGAGTTAGAGATCTTCGGGGTATCTTTTCCGATCGATTTGATCCCGATTCCCATGAGGGATGTGTGTGTGATTGTGATGATGGACTGGCTTAGTCGATTCGGTGCCATGATCGACTGTGAGGGTCAGCGGGTAGTGGTTCGAACCACAAGTGGGGGAGAGTGTATTGTCAATGGCGAGGGTACCAGAGTGGGATCAGAGTTTTGCTCAGCCGCCAGGGCTCGGCAGTATATTCAGCACGGGTGTGTGGGTTATTTAGCGTATGTGGTGGATGCGCGAGTCAGGGATTAGATTCCAGTTTCAGAGGTTCCAGTGGTCAGGGAGTTTGCTGACGTGTTCCCGATGGAGTTATCAGGGATACCTCCGGAGAGGCAGGTCGAGTTTCGAATCGACCTGGTGCCAGGTGCGGCCCCTATCGCCAAGGCGCCGTACCGATTGGCGCCACCCGTGATGCAGGAGTTGTCATCACAGCTGCAAGAATTGCTGGGCAAGCAGTTCATTCGTCCGAGCAGTTCCCCATGGGGAGCACCGATTCTCTTCGTCAGGAAGAAGGATGGTTCACACTGGATGTGCATTGATTACCGGGAGTTGAACAAGTTGACGGTGAAGAACCGTTATCCACTCCGATGATAGATGATCTTTTCAATCAGTTACATGGGGCATCTTGGTTCACCAAGATAGACATGAGGTCCAAGTACCATCAGGTCAGAGTTAGGGAGGAGGATGTGGAGAAGATCGCATTCCGGACTCGTTATGGACAATACGAGTTCGTGGTGATGCCGTTTGGGCTCACCAACGCCCCAACAATATTTATGGACCTGACGAATCGGGTCTGCAGGCCGATGCTCGATCGCTCGATTATCGTGTTCATAGACGATATCTTGGTGTATTTCAAGACCTGAGAGCAGCATGAGGAGCATCTTCGGGATTTATTGGGAGTTCTAGGGCGGGAACGACTTTATGCCAAGTTCTCGAAGTGTGAGTTTTGGTTATGAGAGGTTCAGTTCCTTGGACATCTCGTTAACCAGGAGGGGATTTTGGTCGATTCGGCCAAAATCGAGGTGATTATGCAGTGGGAGGTTCCGAGATCTCCCTCGGATATCAGGAGTTTTCTGGGGTTGGCTGAGTATTACCGGAGATTCATACGAGATTTCTCCAAAATTGCAGTACCCCTCACTCGTCTGACGAGGAAGGGGTGGATTTCCGGTGGGGCCCCGAGCAGCAGAGGGCATTTGAGACCCTCCGACAGCGACTATGCGAGGCTCCAGTCTTGACTCTCCAGGAGGGATTGAGGATTTTGTGGTATTCTGTGATGCATCCATCACAGGGCTGAGAGCGGTCCTCATGCAGAGAGGACGGGTGATAGCCTACGCGTCGCGGAAGCTGAAGCCGCATGGGATGAGATACCTTACTCATGATCTGAAGTTGGGAGCGGTGGTGTCCGCTCTCAAGATATGGAGACATTATCTCTTTGGTGTCCGTTGTACAATCTACACGGACCACAAGAGCTTGAGACACATCATGGATCAGTCGAACCTGAACATGAGACAGCGCAGGTGGCTAGATGTAGTCAAGGACTACGACTGTGAGATCCTTTACCACCCAGGTAAAGCGAATGTAATTGCGGACGCTCTGAGCCGCAAGTCTGTTGGGTCTTCCACACCAACGACATGTATGAGGATATCGGTGGATCCTCCACTCGTGAGTTTGATTAGAGATGCTCAGGCTGAGGGCATGCTACCAGAGAATTGGAAACTTGAGAGGATCAGGGGCGAGAACGCCCAATTTGTGCAGGATAGCTGAGGATTGTTGACACATTGCGGTCGGGTATGGGTTCCGATGACCGGTGGGGTCAGATAGACGGATAGGGAGGAGGCTCACAAGTCTCACTTCTCTATTCACCCAGGAGCCACTAAAATGTATCGGGACTTGAGTTTGAGCTACTGGTGGCCGTACATGATGCGAGAAATCGCTTGGTATGTCGAGAGGTGCTTGACCTGTAGGATGGCAAAGGCCGAGCATTAGAGGCCGCATGGCAAGCTGCAGCCTCTATAGATTCCCATGTGGAAATGGGAACAGATCACGATGGACTTCATTACCAAGTTGTCGAGGACGACAAAGGGATTTGATGCTATATGGGTCATCGTGAATCGATTGACCAAGAGTGCCATTTCCTGGCCATTTGGGAGAGTTCGTCGGCCGAGAAGTTGGCCGACATGTATGTTTGTGAAATCGTTGCTCGCCACGGAGTTCCGGTCTCTATTGTTTCCGACCGAGACGTTAGATTCACCTCCCGCTTCTGGCAGAAGTTCCGTGAGGAACTGGGCACGTGACTGCATTTTAGCACGGCTTATCATCCGCAGACCGACGGCCAGAGTGAGCGGACTATACAGACCCTCGAGGACATGTTGAGGGCTTGTGTCATCGACTTCGGTGGGAGCTGGGATTCCCACCTACCCCTTGCAGAGTTCCTGTCACACCCCAAAACCAGAATGGCGGAAACGTTCTGGGGTGGAGGACGTCATGTATAGCATCACAACC